GATCCTGACGTACTAATTAACTTGTATATACCAAATACGTAAAACCCCACCAAAGAAATGGTGTCAAGCTGAATGTTTGCCTATACCATTTTGCCAGTATTATTCATCCAGTGCTAAAGAAGGGTCCATATTAAATAGTACAGTCAATTTAAATAAGTCATAGCTGACAATAGCTAATTGCCAGTGATGATAATCAATCTCTGTCCTGTTTAGCTGGTTAAAATAGAATCTTTTGTCCTATCACCAAGCATTTCTCTTTATCACACTGCCTAGAATTATGCAAATGAGACCACATAACTCACTTTTTCAAATGTCCCCCAATGAATGAATTAGTATATCTAATGTGGTCTGTATTCCTTGCAAAGGAACAGACTGGCAGGTCAGGAGCACCACCCTCACTCCATTGAATTTTACACTTAAACCAGGTAAAGAGGTGGCATGCAAATTACATCTCAATAAATCTGTTTTTAAAATTTTCAGTAAAAAAACGAATGCTTCTAATACTGTAATATCTTTCTGTTGCTAATGAGATAAGCTGTCTCAAGCATCATGTTTTATGTTTGGACCTCAGAAAGGACATCTGCTAACGCAGAGGTAACTACTGGGTTAACACAAATTGCCATTAGCAGGGGTCCTCAAACATTTTAAACAGGAGGCCAGTTCACTGTCCCTCAGACCGTTGGAGGGCCGGACTATAGTTTAAAAAACAACCTATGAACAAATTCCTATGCACACTGCACATATCTTATTTTTAAGTAAAAAACCAAAACGGAACAAATACAATATTTATATTTGCATGTGGCCCGCGGGCCGTAGCTTGAGGACCCCTGGGCCCATTAGGATGGGACAATAAACAGTTTTTTTTATTCCTTGAAATACCCAGGTTGGTCTGTATCATATCACCATGATGAGGATTGATGTTTTGACTGCTGAGTGCCTTTCTTAGTTATTATGACTTGAGTTCCATAAATTACCCAGATAATGGTATTAACTCTCCACTCTCAATTGAAAGACTGGGACCCAGTGACTAATAGTCCTGGGCTCTGCTCCATTGGCTGGAGAGTAAATGTCACAAGCTTATGTGCCTACATACAGCAGGTAAAAATGAGTTCCCTCTTCCTGAGTCATTTGTTCAGCCAATGTTCTGACAAATCCACCACACATGAGCCCTTGTACTCAGCACTGTGAGTTACAAGATGATGGGGTCAGTCCTTACGTTTGGAGAGTTTACAATTTGTTTAAGAAATCAAACTGGAACATTTTAAAAAGAGATTGCAGATTTTGATATGTTAAAATTTGATATGTTAAAATTGTAAAGCAACTGCAAATAATTATACATTTATTAACTATTATTTTAAAAATCCAGCAATCTGAACTTCCTAACAAAGACTAAGTTTGGGTATGTTGCATTTGTCAGAAGAAAGATCTAGAAGGAAAATAGCGAGGTCAGACAAGCACTCAGGAAGGGGAGGCAGTTCCCTGCACAGTCACTCCTTCCAACCTGGCTCAGTTCTCAAACACCCCCCACCCCCACCCCGCCCTCTACCCCACACATTTCCTTTTTTCTCCAGGCCATTTCCATCTGAGCATGGAGGAAGCAGAGCCTATGACTGTTAGTCACTAGGGCCCAGTCTCTCCATTGAGAGTGAAGTGGAGAATTAACACCATTATCTAGGTAATTTATGGAACTCAAATCATAATAACTAAGAGCAGAACAGTTGCTACAAGCTCAATTCATTTTATAGACTTCCTACCAAGGATTGGTCTGCTATACTTCAAGTACCATTGGGTTATGCTCGGAGGGCCACATGATGAAAAGAACAAAGTCTTTGACCTCTACGACCTTCTGGATCATTGGTTAGCTTTTCAATTCATTTGCCCTGTGTAGACATGGCTTAAAAAGATAATGTATTTTCGTCTCTGGGGCAAAGAAGGGTATGTCATTTACGGGGCCTGGTTATTATTCATTTATATCTAGAGTGCCTGGTAAAAGCAAGAATTCCAAAAATATTTATTGAATAAATCAATGAAGCAATAGATATGCTGTATAGATAAAAATGGGTTACCCCAAATCCTTGCATTTTTATACATCTTCATAGTCAGGTATTTTCTTGTTTAGTTTCTCATTTTATCCCCAAGTCAACCCAGAGTAAGGTGAGCAAGGTAATGATCTCGATCTTATTTTAGGTTGAACTTCAGAGACCCAAGACCACACATTCAGCAAGTTATAGAGTGAATGGCAAACCCATGTGTACCTTATAGGAATTATAAGCTCTATCCAGCTTATAATCATTCAGGAACAACAGAAAAATGGGTTAGGGGCCTGACACACACCAACGGTTCCTGGGCCAGAGAGACTTGGTAGGTCAAAGCGAAAGTCCAACCACGTCTCCCTTTGCAGTGGGAAAGCAATTAAGAGAATTCAGCATGCTAGTGGCAGCTGGGGAGCTGGCAGATTCCTCAAGAGAAGGACTGTAAGCAATGTCATAGGCCAAGAAGATGGATGGGGCCCATTTATGCACCGGGGCTGACATATAAATGGAATCCTGCCCGGTTTGACTGCCCTTTCTTCAAAGATGTCATTGACAGATGAGTATCTAAATGTTTTTGTTTAAAAATGAAAACAAGGAAAAAAAGAAAAAAGAGAATAAAACAAAACAAAACAAGAATCTCTTTCTACTCCAAATAGACACATGTAGCCGGCGTGCATGAGAATGCCCAATGGGGCATGGGAGCCATGCAGGCCTTTCAAAGGAGTCCTTGATAATTATTTGCAAAATTGTTCACCTTTCTTTTCAGATAAATTTCAATTTAAGGCAAGGGTTTCATTGAAACCCCAGATGACTGCCAGTTGGCTGTATCCCATCTGCTGGTGGGGGACAAGCCTGCTCACAGATGCCATGCTCACCTGCCAAAACAAGGCTTCTTCCCCAATTAAAACAGCCCCTTTTATTTTTAGAGTGGTAAACAATGTCTACTTAATTTGAGGAAAACACGCAGAAGAAAGTTACGGAACCTAATCACGCAGTGACATGATGGGTGAGTCAGAGTCCGTGAAACTTGGGGGAGTGCTGGAGGGGCCACTCTGCCTGTGGAGACAGAAAAAGGTCCTTCCGAGGTCATTGCCTTCATGGTGCTGCCTCCATGGCAGCCTTCAAGATCAAACCGAGCAAATCTGTTTTATCTTATGTTTACCAAACATACTATAAGAAGGAAGATTAATAATCACCAGTTTTAAAAGGTAAGAACTAAATACAGTTCCTCAGATAACCTTGTGTCTTTATCTTGTTCTGGAATTATCTTCTGAAAATGGGGACACTTATCTTTTGCTCAGTTGACACTTACCAAGTAGCAATAAGCAGGAGGACGTCTTTTCCACCCACTCAAGGTGGGCCAACCCTGCCTGTGGTCTCTGGCCAGATGTATATCTCAACAGCAGATCAGCAAACCCTCTGGAGAAGTCACGTTCTTCTCCAGACTGGATGTGCAATGCCCTGGCTGAGTCCATTTCATCCTTACTCAGCCAAACAGACATTTATGAAATGCAAGATATTTAGAAACTTTTGGGCATCGTTTACAACTTGGCAGAAGTGGCTTGGATGGGCACAGTCACCTTAGGGTCAACACAGAGCATTCCTCGTGATGACTGAGTGAGAAACCCAGGAAATGATTTTAAAAAGAAATTTCAGACAGATAGACAACAGACAACCTAGGTCAGACCATGCCGACAGGTGTATGTGGCACCAGCTGCGGGAGATAACGCACCCTAGCTGGCTGGGTCAGCCTGGAGGTTGGCAAGTCTGACCTGCTTTAAGCACAAATAAATCTTGCTGAGTTAAAATAATGATCCTATCTCTTACTTTCCTCAAGGAACATGAGACACTAAGTGACAAATTTTGGACAGCAGCTGTGAATCCTCAGAGTCCTTATCTCCTGGCTGATTAGTTGCAGGTCTGCCTCATTTAAGACGAGCTACAGGTCAGATACATAAGACTGTCTTCCTTGCTATGCCCAATAACCCACAAACATCCGGGCAACTGTCCCCAAATCTTTCAATGCCTGCTAATATAATTATGATGCACAGGCTAAGTGGGAAATACAGTGGGGGGAGAAAACCCAGTGTTTCCCAGCCAAAGAACAACCACTTCAAACATGCCTGCTCTATTTGCAGTCCTTCCCACAAACCTTTGGGAAGACACAGAAGTTGATGTTCAAAGTCACCCTCCATACAAACTATTGACTCCCTTCGGTAAATCTAGCCAATGTCAGGATGATGCTTAGAAGCTCTCACCCATCCATCAACCGGTGGATTCAACAATGATTTATTAAAAATAGATGATGTGCCATTTTTCTCAGCAGCTGTCCTCCCAGGAGGGCTTGTGGCAGTTTCTGGCTGTTTAGGCCAGACACCAGTGACAGCCCCCAGCCAGCCACAGATACCTACTGACACTCCTGAGAGTGAGAGAGATGGGGAAAGCCAGAGACAGGTTTTTGTGTGTGTGTGTTTTCTTTTAACAATTTAAGACTCTCAATCATAAAATGGTCTGGCTTTCTCAAACCTGGCACCTGCAGATACATTTAACTCTAATTCCTCCAGGGGATTAAGGTGATGAAAATCTCAGGCTCGCTGGAAAAGGGCACATTTCGGCTTGTATTTGCCTAAAACAAACCTGTAATCTCCTCGTATGCCCACTGTGATCCTAAGGATGTGGAAGTGGGAAAGGCGTTCACTCTAAATGCACATGCCACCTACTGCCGGGAAAGCTTCCGCACAGCCCAGCGATGTCTTGGAGTTTATGATTACAAGTCCTGTGTTCACATCAAATATAACCAGCTGTCAGAGCCCTGGGTTGGAGGAGATGACACCAGGCTGAAAGGGGAGTGATTTAAAATTGTTTTTCCTTTGAAAACCAACTTTCCGGTACTCAGAAGTAGTTGAGTGGCCAGATAAGTGGATGCTGCACTTGCTTTATATTCATTCATTGAAATCCACTGCTTACCTGCCACCACGGGGGATTTCCGCTCATCCAGAAGCTGGATGGAGGTACTCGCTGTCACCACATTGCTTTTGTTGACTGTTCCTACAAGAAGAAAAAACAGAAATAGAGGGAGTTAGAGTGCACATGTTAAGAAAGTCATCATACTGGCTCACAGTCACCGATTCTGCAGATGGTGCTGGGGCTGGCGTCCCAGAGCCCAGAGCTGGCCTGCTCCCTGCACAGGTGCTGGGCAGCCAGTCCGCCCCACAGGAGGCATCAACACCGAGTGAGTCCTGACCACCTGCACTGGGAGCATCCAGCCTCTTCCCACCAGGATGACTGACCACCGTGGCGGGGCCACCTTTCCTCTAATTTGTGGTTATGAATTGCAGCATTTACTTGCATCGGTAATCACATTCATACTGTGTTTCTGAATATGGCCAGGAAGAGCTGCATGAGATGGAGTGTTAAAATTATTTTTTGAGTTGAGGACTTCAGGTCTGATTTATTGGTTGCAACTTGACTGACTTATAACATTCTAACTTTAAGTCCACTTTTTCTGAGCAAAACCATTCTAAACAGGGATAGAGCTGGAATACAATCCTGACTCCAAACTCTTCTGACTGTGGTAACAGTAGTAAGGCATCACTATGAAGAGATCTCCAATCACTCACAATGGTTCAATGCCCATGGAGTGAAAGATGCTGAGCCTACAGTCCTAGCCAGTTCCCGCCGCACAAAAGGTGTGCAATGAATGGGAGCCAAATGGAATCAACTGCCTTGGGAAAGAGGGAGAAGGCAGACCTGCACTTGAACAGCCCTGTGGCCGAAGCAATGGAGAACTTTGCCTGGCCCCAGTCTCAGCTGGAATGAGAACCAGTTTCCCCCGCCCCGCCCCCCCCCCCCCCCCCCCCCCCCGGTGTCTGCAGGTCCTCAGCACACAGTCAGAAAGCGAGAGGAGCTCCCCAGCAACGCTGGTGGTGCTGAACATTTTCCCAAGTCTAAAGGGGCCACTTAATCTCCGAAGATATTATGTCATCCAGAACTTTACCAGGAAAAAGGTAAATCCCATTTGCATTTATGAATTCATTGAAAGTTCAGTGAAAACCCCACTTGCCAAAAGCCTTAATTAATCAGAATTCTTTGTAGGAATAATAACCGAGCAAACTGAAATGAGAGGCTTGCTCTCTCTCTCTCTCTCTCTCTCTCTCTCTCTCTCTCTCTCTCACACACACACACACACACACACACACACACACACACTCTCTTTCGGGGGATGCTCACAGCTCCTCTCTGTCCAGCTTTGGGCAAAAGCTACTTTGTCACAAAGAATAACTTCGAGATTCCAGTTCAGATGATCTAGGAAGCTAAATTCTGTTTTTTCTTGATAGGACCATAAAAAAGGAAGTTTTACAAGACTGCACGATAAACGGAGACAGTATTGGGAGGTGTGCAGCAGAATGAGAGCATCCACGGTTTTAGTTGATATTTTCAGCAATAAAGTGTGGTGCTGATAACAAAAAGAGAGAGCTCTAGTCATCTGGAAGCTTATGGTTAAGAACACACATGTGCATGGGTGTGGCTAACACAGGCCTGTCAGCAAAGGAGCCCAGACTCCAAGAATCTCAGTTCAAATGGAACCTAAAGGATAATCGTGTTGCGTATCCCACTCAGCAAGGGAGTTTCTATATAAAATTTCTCACATTTTCTTAAATGTCTTCATTAATGAGGGACCCTCTTTTTAATGAGTCAGTCCATTCAACTAATTATTAGACAACTCCTGTCAACATGACTTATGAAGGTTTCGAGAGAACTTTTTCTGAGGGGTTTTCATTCGTGGAAATGATGGGCTTTGACATGAAGCATTGCAGAGCCTCCACTGGGGCTGAGTTAGGCACACTTGTATGAGGTTCATACAGAGGCCCTGATCTAAAACATAAGTACCGACTGAATGTCCAGAAACGTCCAAGTTCACGGAGCCGGCTCACATTCATCTCTGACGTTTCTACGATGCACAGAGCCTCGCACTCACACTACTGCACGTGTGAGACAAGAACACGCCAAGGACAATTGAAGAGATTTCTAGATTGGCTTGCTTCTAAGCTGGTTGAAATAAGACAGTGTGCAGTCCTTTTTTGGTAACCTTGTCTTTTTTTTTATTGCATCATTAAATCTTAGGACTGGAAAAATCATTGGCTCCATGCCCCGCAATGGCCACTGCAGCCTCTGTCAGGAGGGTTGAGGCTATACTAAGTCTGCATCCTTACTCCTGCATGTGCACTAAAATTGGTGCCCTTCTCCTGGGGAACATGGGCCTCCAGAGTGATGTGACTTGCTGAAGGTTTTGACAAAGGATGCTATGCCTGCCCGAACATCTCAAAGTAGGGCCATGACTGCATTACACAAAATCTACTGAGAAGTTTGCATTCAAATTCCACATGGTACAAAATTACAACCCTGCTTTTGAAACCTGGTTAAGCAAAAACAAAACAAAACAAAACAAAAAAACGCTTCATTTTTATTTTATTTTATTTTATTTTGGGCTGTTGCACATATAGAACAAGTCACTGCTTCAACACTGGGCTGACAGCGTTGGCTCCCAAGGCTGAACTTGGCTCTGCTCAGCATTCAGGCCGATCCCCCCTACTCTGCAGGCAACGCCCAGGCCTCCCACGAGGACACCCACCTGTGCTGAAGGGGATGGAGTAGACGAAGCTTCCCGGAATCTGCTCGGCAGCTCTTCGGTACCAGAGAGGGAAATGGTCTGCATTGAAGATGTTCTCCTTGTCTCCAGCTTTCAGAAAGTCCCTGGAAATGGGAAGGAGTAAGAAGAGCATGACCACTCAGCAAGGAGAAGCCGGACACGGGTGCAACCCAACAGCCTTCGTTGAATAAGAACAGGGTTGGCCACTGAGAACAGAACTCATAATTGGAGGCATTTCTAGCTTCCCAAAGCAGCTTCAGTCTATAATTTTTTTGGCCTTCACAATAACTCAGAGAGATCATTACCCCCATTTTTCATATGCACAGAGTGAAGGGAATGAGTGAGACAGCTGGCTGCTCATCCCAGCAGTCCCGAGCTCGTGTGGTCGTCTTTCAACTGTCGCGATAGCAGAGGTAACAGACTGTCAAGGTGCCACATTTGGTGGCTGTTATTTTCTTGATCCTTTGTTTTCATCTCAAAACAAACATCAGCCTTCCTCTCTGAGCATTGGACAGTCTACCCCTTTGCCTCTCTGGGTCCTAAAGGGTGTATATCTGGACACTTCTACTTCTTCCTAGGAGCTTGCCCTCTGCAAAAACACTGTTCAAGGGTAAAGAGCGAAAGAGGGTTTGGAAAAAAATCAAGTCACAACTATAGTCCACTTCCTAAGTGACAAACTTGAGATGCTGGGGACGAGAGTCCTTGAATAGGAATTAGCAGCAGGTCCACAAAACGTCTACAAATTGATGGACCTGCCACACAGCAGACTTGGTTTCATGAGGTCATCGGCGGGGTGAGGTTCTCCGGGAACCTCTGAACTCCCACATGTGCACTTTGCAAACTTTCTGAATCACAGGCTCTGTTTGCCTCTGGCCTAATAAGGTCTCTTGCTTCAGAGAAAAGAAATGGAGCAAACTTATTAATGGGCTCAGGAATGCCATCCCAGGTCCACACCAGCTCTGGACTCACACCAGTTTGAAGAGGTAAGGGCCCGTGGCTCTCTGGAGACACAGGACTGAGCAGCGATGTTAGGGAATCTGGGTCCAGGGTTCAGCAAGCCCTACACACTGTCCACTTGGGTCTCTTTGGAAGCACAAGGAAACATGGTCCAACCGAGTGACACCAGCCTGCCTACTGCTGGCGTGGGGCTCAGTGCAGACACACCGAGGTCTCTCAAAACGCACACAAATAGGCACTGATTCCTGGACAGACAGGGACGGACAGGAATTCCTCTGCAGAGCTGCGTGCGGAACAGTTGAACTCCCCGAAGCCACTTGTCGGGGATGAGCGGTCCTCCCTCTGGCTGCCCCCCAGCAGCCGCACCGCATCCAGAGTTCCTAAATGACTCACCAGGTGGGAGAGGACGCCAGGATGGCGGACAGAAGCCAAGAAGCCTGAGGAACAAAGGGTTATGGAAGGGCCCGGGCAGGTGAACACACACGCTGGGGCCCCCATGGTGGAACAGAGAAGAAAAGTATCAATAGGCCTGGGGTGGCCTGAATTTCACTTCAACCAGTGGTGGGATCAAGAAATTAAATAAGCTTCCTTTTGAACTTCCTGCCTCAGTTTCTCTCTGGGCCCCACAGAGGACTCCCCGCCACCCCCCACTTACTGATTGGTGAGCTGCTCAGCCCCAACAAACAGGTTGATCCTGGAGAGGCCGGTGCGAGTGCCAAGGAAGGCGACCTCCACGCCCTTGTCAGAATTCCTGAAACAGAGCAGCAGGGGTCAGGGGTCCTTCCGGACGGTAAGCAGATAATTGCCTTTGCATTTAAGACTTGTGGAACCTTTTATGAACTAGCACTTTCATAACCTGAAATTGGAAAAGAAATTCTAGAAACGCACACACATACCAGCACAGGATGCAAACCCTAATCACTTATAAAAGTTGTCATCCTAATTCTTGCAAGAAATCTAAGAACTCCATGACAACAAAAGCGCCATGAGAAAACGCATCCCCAAAGCTAAATAAGGACACCTTCACCTCAGGTTCCTGGGTGCAAGTTCAGAGACAGCGGGCCCAGAATGGGAGCAACTCTAAAGAGAGGAAGCAAGTCCTGAAAGCGAGCTTTCAGCACTGATGCTACAAAGTCTGTTTTTGGTCCTGAGACCACTAGTGGGATCTGTCATTAGCAAAAATAAGCAAGTGAGGCCCTGAACCAAACCTGCAGCATCCCACAGCCTGGAAATGTCTAGGACTTGAATTCAACACCAACTGGGGGCACCAGCTTGTAACTGCTACCGGAGCAGGGGCCTTCTCCTCACCTCCAGCACCACAGAGATGAGTAAAGAAATGGCTTCTTCAAACAGCCCTGCACATGCCATTCATAGGAACTTGAAGAATGGCCTTAACAAGAGAAGTCATTTGAAAAGTCACTGAACATTTATTTTTCAGCTTTAAGTTTATTTTTATGTTTGAACAAGTTCTCTAGGATACTTGCAATGCATACTCCTTTTTTAAAAATTATATTTTATTAATTTTTTTAAAGAGAGGAAGGGAGAGGGATAGGGAGTTAGAAACGTCGATGAGAGTGAAGCATCAATAAGCTGCCTCCTGCACACCCCCTACTGGGGATGTGCTTGCAACCAAGGTATATGCCCTTGCCCTGAATCGAACCTGGGGCCCTTCAGTCCCCAAGCTAATGCTCTATCCACTGAGCCAAACCGGCTAGGGCAATGCATGCTCCTTTAAAAAAATCAAATGGTTTTCTCAACCAAGGCATACTTCTATTTTCAATAACAGTATAAGGAGAATACTGATTATTGAATTTATTTCCCTACCCTAGATACTAGTAACAATTGGATTGGAAGCCTTATCCATGTCATCTGCATTATATGATCATTTGGTTACCTGCTCTTCGATGGTAGCCAAAGTGGTCAATTCTACCTTTAAGTATTTAAGGGGTGAATAAAAACCAACACAATGCATTTGTTTCTGCTTGTAGCCAATACGGAATTGGAGAGCCAGGCTGCCCAATCAGTTACAGATGTGGAGTGCTAAGCAAGCTACCATTTTGGAAATCTTTAGCATGTGTTAGGAGTGAATCAGCAGCCTCTGCACAGGATTTTGAGTTTCAGGGAAGCCTAAAGAAACATTTCCACATCCACTAGAGCAGCGGTTCTCAACCTGTGGATTGCGACCCCTTTGGCGGTCGAACAACCCTTTCACAGGGGTCGCCTAAGACCATCCTGCATATCAGATATTTACATTACAATTCATAACAGTAGCAAAATTACAGTTATGAAGTAGCAACGAAAATAATTTTATGGTTGGGGGGTCACCACAACATGAGGAACTGTATTAAAGGGCCAGAAGGTTGAGAACCACTGCCCTAGAGAATGCAATCCCAGGAAGGGCTTTGACTCTCTCCTAACGTTTCTGGGAATAACCCATGTAGGTAATCATTCCAAAAACGCCCGAATCTAATGAGAATGGCCATCTTCCTTTGTGCCTTCAGGCTCATGGAAAAAATCAGCTACCCCACATCTCCACATAGGAGACTTTTAGTCAGTGCAATCTTAAAATGTCTAGGAATGAACTCTGGCCGATCCAGTCACAAATCTGATCTGCGTTGTTTCCTGTCCTGGGAAGCGGCACTGAGTTACTCATATCATAAACCTGAGAACTATCCTTGGCAGTTCAGCTGCCCTCCCCTCAGGTGCCGGGGGTCTGACTTCCGAAGCATGACACCTGGACACCTCTTCTCTCTATGCCACCTGCCACCTGCCACTGCCCGGAGTGGCAAATCCCGGGAATGCTGTAGGAGCCTCTATTGTTCTTACTCCATCACCATTCACTCTCCACACAGCAGTAAAGGGATCTTTAAAAGCACAAATCGAATCATGTCCTTATTAAAACCCTTCAATGATTTTCCAATACTCTGAGGATAAAATGCAAACCTTTAACTTGACTCCCAAGGTCCTGAACCACCTGAACCCTCTGCAGCCTCATCTCCAGGTGTGTTCCCACTGACCTATTGGCCTTCTTTAAATTCCTCAAATGCGTCAAGTGCTTTCTTACCTCGGGGCCTTTGTAAATGCGGTGCTAATTCCCTTGAATGCTCCCCAACTCTTGAGCTAGTGCCTGCGCAGAAAAACCTTTCCTGTCTTCCATCTTTACTCCATTTTTTAGTTCAACAGTTATCACAATTCTTAATAATACAGCACAATATATACCACTGGTGTTATGATGACAAGGACTGTGTTTAATGGCATGACCTCCATTCACTAGCACCTAGCCTCATCCCTGACATATAACACATAGTCATCAATATTTGATGAATGAATGAATGAATGGAAATGAGAGCAGAATGAATAATGGACAGGATAGAAGAGAAAATATAGAAGGAAAGACAAAAGAAAGGAAGAAAAAAAAAGAAAGAGCAGAAAAGGAGAGAGAACTGGATAATGTATGATGTGAAGATATAAAAAGAAATTGTTTTCTTCTTATTTAAATCTTTAAACACCTACTTAAAATAGTAGCAGTGATAATAATAATAATAATAATAATAATAATAATAATAAGCTGCTGAGGCAATTCTCACCATAGTCTTTGACAACAATTCCCCTTGCCGGCTCCCATCCCCCGACATCCTCCCCTTCGGGAGTAAAGCCATGGGGTTACATCTGACACCCTAATGAAGCAGCGCTCCTACTTCCTGTCCTGCTCACCAGCAAACCTGGCCTGAATCCCAACCTCCCAGCCTGCGAAGTAGAGGCAGCCACGGCAGGGCAGGAAGCACAGTGCTCCTTCTGCCCCCACCCTCTCGGAAGTGTCACCCTACCTCCGCATACCGAATTTCATGTAATGTTAAAACTCAAACAAATTACACGTCAAACCCAGTAGCTTGCCATCCAAGCCCCAGCCGCTAATCTGCTCTAGCTCTTGTGGTTTGGAGCATTGGGGAAAATTAAAGAACTTTAACACCAGCCTCCTCAAACAGTTTAGTTCTTAAACTATAACCATATTTCGGACTGTTTGTGGGGAAATGGCCATGAAAGGGGGACACGTGCAACCACTTACTCAGATTTGTTGAGGGCAAGGCTGGTCCAATAGGCTTCAATGGGAGCGCTCACCACAGCATCGAAAAGGACCTCCTGGATCAGTTCTTTATCACCTGTCGGGAGCGGCAGGCCTGAGAAGATGGCTCTGGCCGGGCCCCAAACTGGGGCACGAGAAGCACCCAGCAGCTCATTCTGCAGTATCTGCAGGCTGCTTTCTCATACAGTGTGTTGCTTTATATACTAACCTCCCATCAGCTGAAAATACGAAACAGTCTGACACCTGACTTGCTAGCAACCCAGCAGCCCCCTGAGTGTTTGGGTGAGACAATAGCAAATGGAGAGCCTTGGGAGCCTCACACTTCTGTGTTCTGCTCTCTCTCTCCCTCCCCCATCTAGTAGTTCATGCCATAGACCCCAGGCCAACCCTGGGGTGAGGAGACCAGAAGCCAGCAGTCCTTGGAGAGTTTATTCTTTTCATCCCATTTCTGTCCCCTGTCAAAGCCTGTGGGTCTTCATGGCCCTGATTTCAGTCAGTTGCAAGAAGGGAGAGGGATCCGATAACCTCCTAACTCCTGGGCTCTATATTGTGATTCCTTTCATTAAAAAAACCTTTCCCTCCCTTCATTTTAGAGGGGGAAATAAGTCCCTATGCAAAGGGATTCTTGGCAGAGTTCCGGGGAAGAGGCTAAGGAATCAGGGAGATAGCCCAAATCTAGCAAAGGCATCCTAGAGCCCTCCAATCACCTCACAACAGGGGCAACTCATTATTACACAAAGCAGAGGAGTCTCATGTAGGCTGGGGGAAGAACAAGGTGGAGCTTGGGGCGAGGTCTGGCTAGAAGGGGTTAATGGGGGGAGGAGGGGACATATATAATATTTTCAACAATAAAGATTTTAAAAAATTTAAAAAAAAAATTACGGATCACCAAAGAAGGAAAGAAAGAAACAAACCAAAAAAACCCCCCAGATAAACTGAAAAATTGTCATGCAGTGGAATATTATATAGTAATTCAAACAAATGAATCAGAGTTAAATAATCAACACAAATGCATCTCTCAAAATTACAATGAGTGACAACACAAGATGTAGAATAATGCATATATTATACAATTTATAATATGTATAGTATACCATATACATAAAATTTATAGAAAATAAACATGGAAAAATATATAGGGTGTCCCAAAAATGTATATGAAAACTTTGAATAATTATAAAGCCAGTGTTTATTAAAATATATTTCATTTTCAAAATTGAGCTAGCAGCTGTTAAAGTGTGTACACATTTTTGCGGACATCTTATATTTTAATATAGAAAATAATGTTACATATTTTTAATGGATATCTATATACAGGGTGGGCAAAGGTGGGTTTACAGTTGGGAGTACTTGAAACAATTTATTTTTGTATTATTATTTATTAGTTATTATATTATTTTCCATAAAAACAAATATAAACCTACTCCTGCCCCACCCTGTATATAGTTATAGCATAAAATGTATGGGAATGATGAACAAATACAGGATGGCAATTCTCCCTGGGAAGGAAATTGCACAGGATGGGGTACTCGGGCTTCAACATTATCTGTTATGTTTTATTCCTTAAAAATGTTCAGGAAGCAAGTATGGCAAAATATTAAGACTTGATGGCAAATGTAAATGGTTTTTAAATCTAATTTCTATGCTTTTAAAAATCTGTCCTGCAAAAAGTCAAAGTAAAAAAAAAAAAAAAAAAGTTGGGCTTCTAGGCTATCCATCTGACCCTTTCTCTATCAGAGCACATCCAGAGACGTTAATCCATTCCCTGAAGATGCGGTTTAGGAGCTGGGCAATCTCCTTACACCTCCCAGGGCTGCTGTGCTTATTCTATAAGACAACGCGTGTAAGGAACATTTCACATCACTGAATAAGTGATAGCTGTTAAAGGTCTGTAATGCTCATCTTGGATGAGTCTCCCTCTGCCCAGTCTGTAGCCACTGCAACTAACAGTTCAAGATCTGACCTTGCGCTTGGTGAGCGCCAGGCCTGCTGCTGCTCTCCCTGCCCCTCCCTCTGCACAAGTTGTCTGCCATTTCTGACTCACTAAGATCCCTCCTAGGGCACTTGGTGGGAGGAGAGGAGCAGCACATACCCCACAAGAAGCAGTAGCAATCCCACCCTGGAGAGAATTAGGACACCTAGATTATGACCTTGAATTAGACAAGTCCTATTTCCAGCCCTGGTTTACCCTCTATAATAATAAAAGCATAATATGCTAATTAGATTGGGTGTCCTTCCGGACGTCCTTTCAGATGTCCTTCCAGACGAAGCCGGGGCTGCGAGGGAAGCCCAGGTCCAGGGTGCCAGAGGGAAGCTGGTGCCGGCAGCCAGGGGAAGGAAGGCCTGCTTTTCCACAAGTATTTGTGCATTGGCCCTCTAGTTTATAGAATAAAGGAGCTGGATAAGCAGATATATACAGTCCCTTCCCAGTTGTAACATTTTCATCTTACGCAGGTATTTGACTAAATGGTCATTTGACTAAATCGTTTGGTAGGAGGATAAATCTGGTGTAAAGGGTTAATCTGGGATTGGGAATTCTACATGACTTTCCATAACGCACATTCTTTTTCTTGTTCCTACAGGAAGCAGACATTTGGCTAGATTTAAGGTGACTGATAGTCTCTGCCAAAGCAAAGCTCCCCTGGAACACTGAAGCGACCGACGGTTTTGCTTTCAACCCCCACCACCACCTGCATACGCTGCGTCTGGAAGCACACTCACATTGCAGCAGAGGTTCTTTGCCTTTGAGGTAGAGCTTAATCGCTTCTAACTGAGACAGATGGCGGTGCTCTGGGTGCAGGTCCGTGTTGCAGTAGGACCTACGGACATGACATGGCTCAGACAACATGTAAATAGTCACAGCATCACCTTCTTTTGCCTTTAAAACAGGAGAACTGGACATGAGAGTATAGAGAACTTGAGAACAAAGCAGGCACCAAATACCAGTACTGAAGAAGGATTTTAATTCTTACCATTCATCTGCCAAGGACACATCGGGGTGTTCTAAGTCATGCAGGCCTGGAGGTCAAGGAGAAGACGTTAATGAGTAAACGCCATCTGTGTGGGGCACTGACCCTCCTCATCCTCTCACGTGCTCCAAATGTTCTTGGGCGGGGCCCTGGGGTGGTTAAGGGTAGACATCAACCCCAAAGATATCTGCCTCAGAAAAGGGGCTCTGATCAAAGGAAACAAGTTATTTTCCAGGCAAAACTTCTTCCTCACTCAGCCACCACCTTCCACAGCTGTGGAAGCCTCAACTCCTTGCTGAGAAATGATGCACCACTGAGTCGTGGCAGAGGAGCTTAGCGTGATGGCGGAAACACTGCCTTTGGATCCCCATGCAGCCTGAGCTGGGGACGGGGCTAGGCCACCTAACTCCTGTGTGACTTTAGCCCCTATAGTGCAGGGGAGTGCGATTGCGCTCTCTCTGTCTTTCGCCAAAAGTGCCGGGAGCGCTATCAAAGCTTCGAAATGGCATCCAGTTCTAAGTCTGCTTTTATTAGTGATGATGATATTGCTAAATATGTCAATGTAGTAAAGGTTTCCTTAAGTTTTTGAATATGTAACTTCATTTACTTGTGATTCATCATTTTTTTCCTAAGCTGCTGTAAAATAAGGAAAAATGCCTTGGCAATTTTAGCATAGTTCCTAGGATATTGGTTGGCACTCAAAGGGATAGCAGGTTATCTTACTTTTCTAAATGTTGTCTCTTCATGTGCAAAGCAGGAATAACGGTAACAGTCTCTAACTGATGGGTGGTTGTGTGGGTGAAATTAAGTTGAATGGTATGAAATTGCCAATACTCAACTGACCAGCAAACATGGCTAGTTGTTACAGAATCCTAAGTGAAAATGAGTCATCGGCCTGGAAAGGTAGCTAAGAGAACAGGGGTAGCAGAGAATTTGGGCGTTTTCACAGAATGGTCCAGAACACCCCAACTCTGTGAAATCAGTCTCTTTCCCTGTGTGTTCATGAGACTTCATTTCAGTGGGTTATCAGCAGCCATACTTTTGAGTGATGACCTCAGGGACTCCAGTGGTGCTGAAAGCCTGTTTTAGGCTGTCAGAGTTTCCCAAATGACCAGCACTGTCTCACTGCACCCTGGATTCCAATTTTCTCCTCAAATACAAATGTGTAAAATACAGAAAAATACTAGATCAATCAACACAAACTCCTGCTTGATTTTATAGGAAGTAGGGGATACATTAGATAGACTATCATCATATATCATCCAAGTGGCCAAATCCTGGCTCCAGCACCTACTGGTTGAATGATCTTGGGAATGTTACTTCAGCTTTGAGTTTTATCAGCCAGAGCACACAGGTGAACATGCCTAACAGATAGACTTCAGGAGAGGATTGAATGGGATAGTAATTGGTTCCTAGGACAATTCTTCCCTTCATTTCGTATGTTCACTGAGCGAAGTGCTATTCCAGGCCCTAAGAATGTAGCAGTGAACAAAACACAAATCACTTCTCTCCTGTTATTTACCTTCCAGTGGCAGGAAAGAGATAAGTAAATAAAATTAAAATACATAGAGTATCAGTTAGCGGTGAGGTCTATGAAGAAGAGAGAATGTAACAAGGGTAGGGAGAGACAAGAGATAGTAAAGGTGGAGAAAGAAAGTTTCAGTTTTAGCCATGGACATCAGGGACATCTTCACTGAGAAAATGACTGTTAAGCAAAATCCCGAAGGAGGTGAGGGAAAGCCATGTAGATACTGGAGAGAGTGCTCCTGGCAGAAGGAATTATGAGTGTGAAGGACCTCATGTGAGATCTTGCCTTCCTGGACTATGGGGTTAATGATGTCAATTCTAGCTATTTTTTTTTTTTTTTAGTTTCTTTTCTCATCAGCTTTGATCCAAAAAGCCCCCTCTGGCTATATTTCATAGGACCTATACATGAGACCGTGAAAGAAAGATCTGGTTTACTGCTTCCTCTCAGAGTTCCTAGGGCACCAAATAAATTGAACTGTTTTCTAATTCTTTCACCTCTTATTTTGGTCCTCCTGACAAAATTACACCTACTGATGATTGCTAATGCTGACAATAATGAGATAGTCTTTAATTTACTGAACAATCATTATGTATAATAAATATTAAAGATGCAGACAAAGTGTCAAGGAGATTCAGAAGAGGAGCGATTTCAGCAGGTAGAACTACAGCCTATGACTTCAACCTCAGTAGTGACTCCTTACATTTGGAGCAAAATCTATGTGTTCACCATCTTTGTAATATCTGGCATTTGCAAAGCACATTAAAAATGCCTACATTCTCTGGGGCAGCATTCCTTATGGAGGATCCTACAGAAGTGAGGTTGTCTGTCCCAGGGTTCTCCTTCCTTCTCCAGGAATGGAACAGCACACCAATCATGCCTTGGCCCTTAATAATGACATGAGCCTCTCCTAGTTAGCCCGAGGGGAAGCAGCTTTCTCAGGCTCTGTGACTCAGCACAGGTGGCAGGACTGCAAGCCCTCTTATTCATAGAGGACCAACAGAGAGAGGAAGATCTGACCTCATTTCTGTGGATAACCAGACACTCTGCCCCTTGCTGAGGATTCAGATTAATGTCTTGCATGGTGGTTACAGTTAGCTCTGAAATGATCTCTACCTGACTCTCAGCCTACCAGCTGTGGGACATACAGGGAGAAGATAGTGACTAAAAAATGATCCAAAAGACTATGCAAAACAACTTGCAGACCATGTATTGAGGATTGACTAAGGGAATGGACACATGAGAGACCATTAATCTATTCATACTCTCTCTGATTGTTCTGACCATGGGGTATTTCCTCAGCTTGACTTCAGATGGCTTAAACATATATTTTCTGGCTTCATAGGCAGTGATATCCACAGAGCTACACATGGCTCATGGAGCCAGAAAATTCTAGAATTAAAAAAAAAAAATTGGAGAATACATCCTATTGAGTATCTTGTCCAAGTCATAAAGTTGCCCGTTTTCTCGTGCATGTCACTGGGAAGAGGCCACATAATTGATTGGCTCTGCAATGGGCACACTCTGAGTTCTGCCCAGGCCACTATGAACCCCCTTCCCTATCCTTCCTATTCCTTGAGATGACACGATTGCTTGGAAGACAAAAACCAACACCTTTGAAACACGGCATGGAGAATCAGTGGTAAACCAGAAGACTGTCTATAACTGGCATCTCAGGGACAACCGATCTCATGCTTCATTCTCAGCTACATCTGAGCCACAAGGTGGTCCAGCTGCTGGAAGTTCTTCTCACTCATTTGTAAGCAGCTTTCATTAACACCTGACTTGAAACAGACCTTCTGCCCTTGGCCATACCCCCTGGGGACACCCAGACAGAGCACTGGTCTGGCCCAGCTCCTTCTTTGTGGAGATGCAAAGCTGAACACCCAGGTTGGGCAAGGGATGCACTCGAGGCCACTTTGGGAGTGAAGCCCTTCAGAGGCCAGCCCACCCCTCCCTGTGAGCTGCTGAAACAGAAAGGTAACTTCTCTGAGCTACCACGTTGTGGGGAGATGAAAAGGACAGTAAAGGTGTGACAACTATTTTAGTCTTAAAGAGCTATAATGACTGCTACCTGTTACTAGGAGTTTACAGTGCTTTCTGAAGACCAGAGGGTCTGGGAATCTGAGGGGGCCACTTATGCCTTCTAAACTATGGAAATCATTGAAATGAGCAGTTCCTGTTGGACCCTTTGGACCCAGGCTGCCATGAAACACAAGTGAAATTTGTGGCTTAAATGTGTAGGAGACCAAGGCTTGCATAATTTTGTTTTCATTTTTTCCCTTGGCTTGAGTTTTTACACTAATTTATATTTTTCCCGGTACTGATTTTTATGGGTGAGAGGCATATAGTTAGAGGATGATTCCTATGAGTGGCCTTCACAACTCTGTGGATTAAAGCAGAATATAAATAAATGAAATCATAAGGAAGGCCCCACTGGTTGGGGTTCCCACCATTCGGAATCAGTGTAGGAAAGCAGGTGACATCAAGTGGCCGTTAGTTGAGTCAATTGTCCAGGAATTGGCCAGAGTGTTGGACAGATGCCCAAGTTCTTCAGTGAACCCATGGTGGGTGCCCGGGCTTCCTTCCCACAGTAAGGATAAGACTGACCACGGCAGCATCTTACCTTCTTCAATGGTTACATTCCCTCGGAAGAAATACTTCCCATGGCCCCTGGAGAGCGCCACACCTAAACTGTGCAGAGAAACAAAGCAGACCTTGAGACCCATGGCATTGACTGGCATAGACTTGTGGGCTAACTTCTTATTTTCCATTTTCACATTGCCATTTCATGTTCTGTAAACAATTTTTCCAACAGTTTATTTTCAAAACCCCACTGATTATAGTTGGTGTTGGTTTTTCTTAGGTTCAATCAGCTGCTTCAAAGTACATTTTTTGATTGGAAGTGCCCGCAGCAACTGGCGGCTCTCGCGTGTTTACAAAGAGGTGTGGCAAGCTGCGCAGCCCCCTTGCAAGCCCTTTCCTTGGATGCCCTCAAAAAGGTCACTTGCCCTGCTCTTCACTACCACCTTACGCACCCCTGCACCGCTGCCCTGCATTCAGCCAGAGGCGGGCCTCTCCAGACCTTAGAGTTTGGGACTAGGGCAAATTAAGCCCTTCCCAAGGGCAGAAAGGAAAACTTCTACCACCACTTGAGTGTAGCCACATGACTGTTCTGTGGGCTTCTTTGCTCCACTCTCTCCCTAGTCTAAGAGAGTTATCACACCCTCATGGGCCTGATGTAAGTTACTTTCTGCATTTGTCTAAAGCAGCGGTTCTCAACCTGTGGGTCGCGACCCCTTTGGGGGTCGAACGACCCTTTCACAGGGGTCGCCTAAGACCATCGGAAAACACATATGTAATTACATATTGTTTTTGTGATGAATCACTAGGCTTTAGTTATGTTCAATTTGTAACAGTGAAATTGGGGGTCACCACCACATGAGGAACTGTATTAAAGGGTCGCAGCATTAGGAAGGTTGAGAACCACTTCGTCTAAAGTAAGAGACCATGCTTTGAAAACACCATCTCTTCGTTTGGCAAACACCCTTAGCAGTCCAGTGTTCCATGGGCTGCTCTGGTTCCAATGGAACCTACCCATGATCCCTGGCCTTATGTGACAACAATCCATCACTTAGTTTTCAGATTAATCTAAAGTCAGTAAATTCTTTCTCTCCTTAGCTCTGCGAGGCAACCGTTCGGGAACAGGAAGCAGCCCCACTGAAATCACTTTTGACAAAAGGTGTCCAGACGCTGCAGGAACAGCGGCGGGAGACCTCAGAATGCCACGTACGCATCTGTAAGCAGGCAGGAGGCAAAGCCATTTCCCAGGACTGTAACAAAGAGAAATAACAGGATTCAAAGGTGGACAAGCACAGAAGGACAGTTCAGAAAATTCAAATGGAAGTACAGCATGTAGTGATGGGTATGCTACCTCCAGGTCTGAAGGATTTTTTATTTTTATTTTGGGTCATGGAAATAAAAGGTGAAATGAAACTCACTAGGCAGCAAGTTAGATGGTTAAGGACCCTGGTAACCCTCTGAACTTGTCTCTCCCCCCTTAGTTGGAACCCCCAAAGCTTATTTGCTGGATAATGAGATGCAAAAGCCAGGACACTTGAGTGAGTTGCCCTGCATGAGCCTGAACCATCTTCCCCGTCCTGGAAAACAAAAACCAAAGCAGCCTGGGCACAGGCTCTTCCTCACTCGCTCCAGCCTTTGGGCAGGGTGCCTGGTTATCTTCAGATGATGAGCTCTGAGAGTGTCAGCAGGTTTTGTACAAACACAACTGATGGGTCTGATGGAATGTCCATGTATTATGGTCAGCTCTACCTGAAAGGAGTACCCTTGATGTCTGTATAATAGTAGTCATTTGTCATCACCAAAACCCGTTTCTAGATTGAAAAAAAAAAAAAGGTCGTAGAGAAAAGAAAACATGGTTAGTCTGCTAGGTGACGTTTTCAGAAATAAATAAAAATAAATGGACACACTATGATCAGGTTAACAGTACTACATGAATCTTGTTTGAGATAAGTAAAGACAAGAGAAAAATGATCTCAGCGAAAGATATTTATTCCAGATAGAGCTTTCAAAAGCTAATTTTTCACAGTGGTTTGTTTTAAATTAAGTGGCAAGAATGTTTGAGAAAAATGTACCCCTTTGTCCACTGTCTTCTTCACCTCCATGGAAAACTTCCCTGTCTTTCGATTCACCATGGCATTTCGTAACTAAAATGATAAAAGAAAATAGTGTTAGTTCTCCCCTGGGTTACCAAGCCACAGGGGCACCTTGCACCCTCCGGCCCAGTGGCACAATGGAGGCCTGTGCAAAGCAGAGGTGAGACGGATCTGGGCTGCTTCCTGCCGCATCCTGGCTGCTTCCATGGTGAGTCTGCATGTGGCACTCAGACCTCGGAAACAGGGCTCCTGCAGAATCAACACCCAATGGCTGTTGGACAAGGGGAGAGAGGCTAACTACAATAAATAAATAAATGACTCTCAACTTCAATTTGGGGTGCTGGGGTAAACCTCAGGCAATACCGACAGAAAAGCCTATGCAATGTTGACAAGTCCAAGGACAAACCCCCAACACACTCAAGGAGCAAGAATGTCTCTTGGAATATGTTATATTCCCAAAAAGGGCATTGGTTTATCATGGAGAAATAACTTTTCAAAATGTGCATTAAAGGCGTTTTCCTACACAGTAGTTTCAAACACACACACACACACACACACACACACACACACACACACACACGGCCAACCATTTGGAAGCCAGGGATTAGCTTTTCATAGCATGAATCATCACCAAATGTTCTTGGAGAAATCAGGGCCAATTAATGGCTTCGCTGACACTGATGGGCAGGGAACAGGGCAACCTTCTATCTGATTTCTGGAGGTCCCCTCGGAGCAGGGTGCCTGGCTCCCTCCCCCACCCCTGGCTGACCTCTCCTAATTACGTGTGGCCCTTCCGTGAGTTCAGAGAAGGACAGCAGACACAGTGATGAAAGATGTGCCGTCATGGGTACCAATGGGAGACGACAGGGAAGGCCATTTAATGGAACAGGAGCAGATGCTGACATGCCACAGCCTGTCAGGAAAGGCTCCTTCCCAGCCCTGTGCTGGGTTTTCTTTCTGTTTTGCTTTTTTCACCCTTGCCCCTCTTTTCTTTGAGGAGCTTGAGTAAGATCTAGGTGATAGAAAACTGCAACACTTGCAGGCAACCTCGATCTGATTCGGGGTGTCTAGATCTGGGTTTGCATTCCCCTCTTCTGTGAGACAGGGTAAAAGCATAATTTTTATCTGGAGGCATGCATAAAATAAAACATATATTTTTTTTACTCTAGATATTTTTGAACAACACATAATGGGCATTTCTGGAAATATTTTCCCATTTTAACTTTTGTGGTTTTGGATAGGGAGAGCTGGTCCTAATTAAGTCTACTTTCTAACTTTTAAGAACGGCTCCATTTATCTTTAACATGGTTTTCATTTTTCCTCTTTCTGGTGCCTGCCTAAAGCCATTTGGGACCTTCCCCTCTCACATTCCCCAGGCAAGACAGAGATTAGGTAAGCCTCCCCACCCTCCGTGCCTCCTCACCCCACCTCCCCGTAGCACAGAGCAGTCAGCGGGGGCCTGGGAGGATCCTGGGCTAGGGTCATGGGTGCTTTCTCAGCTTTCTCGAGGCAAATGCTTAGATTATTAGTCTGGTCTTCCCCCTTTCTTCAATACGAATGAAAGTAGGTTACACTTACTGAACACCAGCCTGTGGGGCAGGATAGCACTGTAGTGAAGGGATGAACCCTGGAACCGGCTTTGTGATCCTAGACCAGTGATGGAGAACCTTTTGAGCTCGGCGTGTCAGCATTTTGAAAAACCCTAACTTAACTCTGGTGCCCTGTCACATATAGAAATTTTTTGATATTTGCAACCATAGTAAAATAAAGATTTATATTTTTGATACTTATTTTATATATTTAAATGCCATTTAACAAAGACAAATCAACCAAAAAAAAATGAGTTCGCGTGTCACCTCTGACACGCGTGTCATAGGTTCGCCATCACTGTCCTAGACCCATCAATTATCCCTCTGAGCCTCAGTTTCCTTTCTGCAAAATGGAATTAATGACAGCACCCATCTCACAGAGGTTTAGGAAGGATCAGAGGAGCTAATATTGACAAGAGCGCCTGGTGCCCCCTTGGCACTCAGTCAACGTTGGCTGCCCTCCATCTTCCTCATCACCCCCCTCGCTTTCTTTACTGTCAGACCCCTCTCAATAGCATCATGAATCAGGATTTAAACTCTAGTGTGCTTGGCACTGATGCCCGTGCTGTACACCAGTGTTTTTAGACTTTCTTGATGGTGAGCCGCGTGAGAACTATAGCTTCTCTGATGCAGCCTGGTGTCTCCTGATCTTACAGATCCCCCATTGCCTTTCCCTGCTGCTCAGAAACCACCGAATGAATTTGGTGACTATCCCCTCATTCCTCAGGTTGAGAGCTGCTGCTCGTGGCCACCTCCAGGTTGGCACCGACTGAAAAGAGCCAGCCACGGGAAAGGGAAGTAACGCAGGATGTCACAGCTCACGTGTCAGGCTTCACCATGACTACACCACTGTCCCGTGACCTCTCTGTGGCTCAGTTTTCTCAGCTTCATTCATCCCGCTGGAAGTGTTCATGAGTGAGGACTTCCAGACCCCCGGGGTCCTGCTGGGTGCTGTGTAAATCGTATAGCAGGCTTAGGAGGCTTGGGTAATATGACAGACACTGAGCTCTTACTATGTGCCAGGCACAGGTTTTAAGAGTCTCAGAATCATCTTATGGGATCATTATTATCCCTGCTTTCCGGGTGGGGGGGCGGGGGGGGGGGGACTGAGGCATGGCTTTACGACACTCACCCACGGCCACACAGGCTCTCTGCCCCCTGAACCCACGTTGTTCTGCTTTTCAAATCAGGAGAGAAAGCATTTGGACAAATTTAAAGCATTAATATGAAAGTTGTGTAGTATTAATAGAAAAAAATAATTTTACTGCTATTTCTGGCCATTTTTTTCTTTTTTAAATCAAAGGAAATGTTTTACACATTGACCAGGCAGTAGTTTGAGGTCTGATGTTCCAGCAGGCTCTCCCACCGGCTGAGGCCCTACGGCCTGGGGCTGGCGGGAAGCTGGTTTTCCATCCTCACTGCCAGAGGACGGAAAGGGGTTGGTGCTTTTTCAATAGGCTGTCCAGTGACGGAGCAGCACTGTGGGGCTGGAGCACAGAAATGTCAGTTTTCCATCCTAGGAGAGTGAGGCTGGAGAAGGGGACAGCTCGCCTGAGCGCTATGGTAAGTCAGGGCTACCACCAGCCACAGGGTCTGGGTTTCAAGGTGGTACCCAGAGAGGAGGCAAAAGAGGAGGGGAGTGACAATGCTATCAGTTCCCACCCAGCAGGAAGGGCATGGTCAGCGATGCTGCCCAGAGTGTCTGATTTCCCTCAACCCCACCACCACCTGGATTACCACAGGAGCAACTGAAGCAATGAACATGGCCTGGCAAGGGACGTCTCCAAAGGAGTTGGGGTGTGCTCATGTCAGAATGTTATGTAGCCGTCAAAAGTCATCTGTGCAGCCCCACCAGGAGGTCAGGGTGCGATTCCTGGTCAGGGCACAGGCTTGGGTAGCAGGCTCAATCCTCAATGGGGGGTGTGCAGGAGGCACCCAATCAATGATTCTCTCTCACCATTGATGTTCTATCTCTCTCTTCCTTTCCCTTCCTCTCTGAAATCAGTAAAAATATATTTTAAAAAGTCACATGTGCAGGTGTTCAACTTGACAAACAGTCAAAGAAAGGCAAATTAAAATATCAATGACATACCTTTATGTTTCCCTATCAGAGAGCCAGCATTTGCTACTGTGCCCATACAGTGAGCATTACAGCAGCTCTCACCCCAGCGTGGTTCCTAAGATACAGGACAGACCTCTGCAGGCTGAAAACAAGAATCTGGCAACTGGATCAGGGTCCTGGGTCTCCAGGAAGCACCCCCTTCCCTGGCCCTGCCTTAGCCGGATCAGACATCAGAAGTGCTTCCGGAGCCCCAGAGGGTCTGACCTTCACCTGCACCTTGAAGCCGAGGCAACTTAGCTGACCACTCAAAGCACCCACGTGACTAACGATGACTGGTGGCCACACTTCCAGTTCCACTGTGAGCCTGCAGCTTCCCCCAGAGAATCCCTGATCACCTTAGGTTTTGTGTGTAATTATAGAAAGAGTACTCATTTTCCTAATCGGAGGTTCATCATCCACATCAGATCAGGAGCCTCACCTTTGCCGATGCACAGGAGGCAAACGCTTCTGGCCCCAATGGGTGTGACCCTGGCCAAGCCAACAGGTTCAAGGGGAAGGGAGGACAGTGGAGAAACAGGTCTGTTATTCCTGAGCCAGCCTTCACCCGGAAGGTGAAAACAGACTCAGACACAGAGTACTTGTACAACAAAATCCTCTCTCTCTCCCTGCTTCAGCCTGGGCTCCCAGGCATGCTGTGCTGGTTTGGGGGCCCAAGGCTCAACCATGAGCTGAAGAGGTACAGGAATAGGTGTAAAGAACAAACTAAACAGCCAAAGGTCTCAGAAATACATTGCAGGAGAAGAGGTCTCTAGGGCTTTGGAAAGAAAAGACTCAGGGGAATCTTTCCATCAGCATCATCCCAGGTAAGAAGTGAGTTGCTGGGGGGTTGCGGGGGAGAAATAAGGCTTACACTGCAACACAAGGGATTTCAGCTGGACTCAAGGCAGAACAAGATGGGGCCATACTCACACCACCATCGTAGCATTTGTTCAACAGCTATGTGCCAGGCACACCCCGTCCTTTCTGTACCACTTAGGGGAGGATGATGCATATAAGGCACTGATACAGGGTGTCTCCATGGACTCTTGGATTCAAGGGCTCCTTCTAAGTCATACCAACATGGTCAAGAGCACTGGGGCCAGATGCCTGGCGTGGAATCCACACTCAGTGCTCTTGGACCATTAGAGCAATCCTTGCCTCAGTTTCTTTAGCTGTAAAATGAGGACAGCAATCACATCAATATCTCAGGGTTGTTATGGGGAATAAACAAGTTGGTCTACAGACAGCACTTAGAACAGTACTGGCCTGTAGGGAGAATTCAATGTGTGGGAGCTCCTACTGATATCAGCTTCCTTCTGTTTATAGAAATAATCCTGCTTGTGGTGGAAATTCTGGGAACGACTAACAGATAATAAGAATAAGATAAAAGTCACCCTCAATTCCTTCAACCATCTCTGGGAACTTAAAGGTACCTCTTCCGTCTAGGAGGTGATTAGCACCAGGATTCAGTCTGGGCTCTGCATGTGTCAGGCTCACTTCCTGGCTCACCGTGCCCACCAGAGCTGTCCTACTCATCATATTGTTGACATGGTGCCTGGCTCACCCTGGAGCCAGAAGTCTCACTCATTTTCCTGTAAATGATTTCTGATCTTAAAATTTTTTAAAATTTTATCCAGTCTTTTTTTTTTTGCATGTGTTTTAATAGTATATGTGAACAATAAATAATAATAATAATAATAATAATAATAATAATAATAATAATAGTATCTGTGACCTCACACCTTTTTCAGAAGTACATAGGATCTGTGTTATAAACATGGTCATTACATTCAACGAAAGCCTAGTTGCCCAGAGAAGGAGGGTGCCTCTTCCAAGAAGTTCTCTGCAGCCAGGCAGCCTAGCGCTGCTTCTTCCTAAATGACTTCTGACTTCCTGGTCTTTCCCAGATCTTAACCTAAAGCCTGCTGTTTGCTACTTCATGCAAACACCAATGGTAGGCACATGGGCATATGGGACCTTGTGTAGATTTCACAAAGATTCTTGTTGCAGATTCCAGAATTCTCCAATCAGTGGAGTGCAAGTTCCTGGGAGAGAAATGGCGACTTGGACGTTTCCACTTGAGCATGTTGATAGTGAAGAAACATTTCAAATGTACTGGTCTCCCAAGATGACAAGACAAGATAGGAGACCCAAAGCAAAGAGACAACCAAAGACCCATCTGTGCAGAGCAAGAGCATTGGACTTGCTGGGGATGCAGGAACTCTTCGGGTGGACGCCCAGACCCAGCTGTGAGTCAGATGAAGGTGAAGGACACACACAGGGATGGGAACTCGACACTCTGCAGCTCCCGTGAGAAAGGAAGATGAGGCAAGGGAATACGGGCATATTCCAAACCATCCTTAGTAAAAGGAGATATCACCTCACAATAGACTAACTTGGGCACAGGTGATGCCGACAGTGAGCCATGTAATCAGTGTCCTCCAGTCACAGGCCCAGGAGAAGTGAGTGTCAGTCGAGCGGTTGACTAGTGACCAGCTGAGGGATGCTTCCTGGACACGGGGCTCTGGAGTGAGAACCAGCATCATTAAGTCCACCCTCCACATTCATGAAAGTGGGAATGAGGAAGGGATGGGAAGCATGTTGACAAGCTCATGCCTCTGGGAGAGAGAGCCTAAAGGTCCAGTGAAGGCACAATAAACAACAGGTAAAGTGAAGATGGAAGAGAAAGGAAACAATGGGAGGCACCCTTTGGAGATTCCTGAGACAGTTTAGCAACTGTAAGCCCACAGGACACGGGCTGATGAGAAGGTCTCCTGAGGACCGATGATGGTGCCACTCATAGCGCTCCCCGTGCCGACACACGGGTACTTTCATTTAAATTGTTCAACATACCAACACATTTAATATTCAAAACAGCTCTATGAGGTAGTTACTATTATCATTAGACTCATTTAATGGTACAAAACTAAAGAACAAGAAACAAAATTGAGGTGCAGACAGGATCATTGCTGACCAGGGCCAGCAGCCAGCAAGCAGCAGATCTGAACCCAGGTGGGCTCATCCCTGAGCTGCTCTCCTCACGGCTGGGCTAGTCTGATTCTTGGGATGAGCAGGTTGAAAAGAAACGACATATACATTAGGTGCAGCACAATCCAAAGAACCTGACATGAACCCTGATGACAATGTGTAAGAACATGAAAATGTAAAACTCTACCAGGCCACTGACCCCTTGTGTGTGCTAAAGAGTGCAGATGAGGAAGTCGCTTCTTATCAAACAACAAAATCATTTTGTCTGAACCTGGGTTTAAAAAGACTTCTAGTAGAAGTTTAAAAAGACTTCTAGTACTTCTAGTACAGACGTAGAAGGAAATAGGTTACATTATGAAACAGAAATGGTTTTGGCACTTTGTAAACAAGAAAGAAAATCGCGATTTATGCTGGATGAGATGTCTGGGGAGTGAGGACGGGAGAAGAAAGCTACAGCGAGGGAACTGCCAGGCCAGCCACATTTCTGGAAGCATGAGAACCCAGCCTGGGGACTTCAATGGCTCTGCCAACAGCCCTCTGAAGAGCAGGACAGAGTGAGGGATGGGAACAATGCAGACCCAATAGTGACACTTAAGAGAGGGCCCCAACAAGTCAGGGAGGATGCGGGCAGAAGAACATGGCCTTGGCAGAGGCAATAGGAGACAACGGGGAGAAGGTGAAGGGCAAGAATGAGGACAGAAACACCTGGATAGTTATGATTTAAATAAGCACCATCCGCCAGCATTTACACAAAGGCAGCCATGTCTAACAAGTCTGACTTAATGATGACGTATCACGGGGCTAAGCTGTGGGCCTAGGGAAGTTCTGGATGCAGTACCAGCGCCTGAATCTGTGTGGAAAATGGATATGTGGCTTTTGTAATGGCCTGCGAAGGAGGAAAGGCTCTTCCTGCCTAGGAAAGGGGGTGGCCCACCAAGCAGAAACATGAAATCCTGACAGGTGAGCTCTGACCCTGACTTTGCCCAGGGCAGAGCCCCCCACCCAGGCTCCCTGACAGGGATGGTCCCACCAAGTGCACTGAAGAGGCGTATGGATTCATGCAGAAGGGACCAGAGCCCACCAGGGGGTGGTTTTGCAGATTGTGCAAAGCAGGCTGGTGGCTGGCCTGTCGGCACCAGTCTGACCAGCAGGAGAGTTATAAACTCCAAACTCAGTACAAGGGCCCATTGTCTCTGCTCCCTCGGGTGGCCAGGTGTCCCTCTGGTAGGCCTCTTGCTGGCTCCTGGGGCAGCCTCCAGGTACAGAAGTGGGTACAATGGAGCTCCCTCCTCACCAGGCTTGAAAACAAATCACTTACCACATCGTCTCTGTCTTCCCACTCAACCTCGGAGAGGTCCACGCTACTGTAGTTAGGTTTCCTTCGCTTTTTCCCTTCTTCGTACTACCAAGGGGAAGAGACAGAAAGAGAAAACACTTCCATGAGACGACCAGCAGGGCAACCTTTATCCTCCTGAGTCCTGTTCTGAGGATGGGGACCATGAATGGAGGGGCGTCAATGAGAGGCCTAGCCGGGTACCAGTCCTAGAGGTTTGAAAGGCAGGAAAGCTGAGGCCAGACGTCTACGAACATTGGCTCTGAGCTGGGAGAATATGCAAGCCAACTCTCTGCTTGATATGAACTTACCTACTGAACCTCATGGCTCTAAATCACCAGATGCAAATCAGAGTTTCCCCTCCTCAGAGGGCTTGTATGTGAGATGGGGAAGAGCCTTTTCCTCCACAACAAGGCTCTAAAACCGCCCATTTAAAACACAGAAAAGGGCGTCTTACACATGGTATCAAATACCTAGTGGCGTCCTTCTATGTTTTATGCTTCTCCACTCTACCTCTTATCTCAATGTACTCCACACCCTTGGTTAGGCTACAAAAGCACCAGTCTCCGCAGGAGGGTTCAACATTCTAGTAACGTGTGCAGACACACAGAAACTTCTACCTGCCACCCCAGTGGCCCCGGCAGTGCTGAGCTCAGCACGCTGCCTCCCCGGGCTGGATGTGGGTGTTGGGAATCGCTGCCAGATCTAAAGGCCATTGGGGCATTTCTCTGGAAAAGTGGGTGAGTGCATTCATAACTGGGCATGTGGTTTCAGGATTTCCCCCCTAAATCACTGGCGTTAGTCACCCTGCAAGCCAACCCTTTTATCAACCGGATGTTCCTGGTCTGGACACTCCTGTCTCTGGTCTTCAATGTTGGCTGGTGGGTGCTTATAATGTGGGAAAGTCTGCCCTCTACTGCAGGCTGAGGAGAAGGGACCCCTGTACAGTAAGATACGGCTAACGTCAGACTGGGGAAAATGTATGTATGTACAGCCTTTTCTTGTTTGCTTTTCTCTCGAAATTGTCCATCTTTGGATTTAATTGATAAGATTCTAAGACTCTGAAACCACAAGTTACCACTTTGAACATTGGCTACTATGGAGACTGGTGCTGAGGGCACATCAGACGTGATGGAGAAAATCCCTGTCCACAGGTGGAACCAGACAGGTCCAACCTGGCCCTAGTGACGTCTGAGGGAGAGAGACCGGATGGAGAGCCCCTGTGCGGCCAAGCAGGGTGAGGTGGTCCCCTAGCCTCTTGCCTTCTTCATTTTGGCTGAATTTCTGGAACCCAGAGACATCTGTGGAGACTGCCCACCCCCAACATCTGGGGAGGCCACCTTGCCTCCAAGGGGCAGGGCCCTGATGAGCCCTGCTCACCGGCCTTCCCTCCCTGCCCCCAGGTTTCCGATGAACAGCGTCCACGGTGAGTTCTATGACATCAGACCCGCTCCAGATGAAGAGGAGGGGAAGTGCTTCCCTCAGAAGCCGCTGTAAATGATAGCAGACTCTCAGTTGGATCCTGTCATGGAAAGTCCGTGTATGCAGGGCAGCTCTGTGCTCAGGAGAGCCAGGCCAGCTGAGTGGGAGGAACAGGACGAGGGCAGGGAGCTGTCGCTAGAGTCTAAGTGAGGAGGTGTGATTCAGACATTCTTGGACCATTGTTACCTGTGCTCATGGGCCAAGTCCCATTTTAGTAAGAGCCATCACAGAGTCAGCAGGCACTCCAGAAGTTCACGCAGCCCAGATTCTGACTGTTAAAGGGGAACCGTCACAATTTCTTGGGTAGCCTAATGCTAAGTCTGAACTGTCTTTTTGGTGGAAGTACTTCCTTTGGTTGCTTCAAAGTGCCCCTTTATTCATTTATTCAACCTCTATTTATTGGACATTCTTTCCCAAGGACTTGCTGACAGTTTATCACCTTCTGCCTCTGGGAGGTCAATTCCTTGCCCATCACGCATATAGGAAAATGGGCTCTAACACGTTAAATCACACATCAAAGAACAAGATAGATAAGATCATATAGCCAGTAGGAGGAGGACACCCCCACCTTCCACACCTCCTGACCAAGAAACTTTAAAAAATCCCAAGGTCCAGAGCACCAAATGCTCCCTCAGCCTTAGAAAAAATACCCATCTGTCTTTGTTAGAAGAGAGGAGAACAGTGGTCCTGCCCCTTATCAGGCATGTGACTGAGCAAGGTGCCCAGCTGCTCCAAGCCCCTTTTTCTCAGTTGCCAATGGGAAACATAGGAGCACGTCCACAGCCAAGGGAGGTTGGGAGGATTAAATAGATGCTATATGTGAAGTGGGGAACGCATTCCCAGGCACAAAATAAACCCTTAATATGTAGCTAGCACGATTCCTGAGAGCCCTGGCCCTCCTGGTGAAGACATAGGCTCACTGTATGCAACTGGCTAATATTTCACTTCCATGAAATGAAGGGGACCCATGCAATAATTTTGCAGGTCACTGTTCTGCAAACCATAGACAGGTTGGAGAGATTTGTTGAAGAGGATAATGTCAGACAAGCACACACATATGTCTTCACCTGGTGTGTATCTTACACACCGAGAGTTGTATACTCAACACCAAGTTGTGACTCAAACACTCCCGGTAGAAAAATGGGTACTTGTGCTAAAGAACCCAAGTCCTTTTAGATGGCACCTGGCACAAGTGCAACTGCAGAGAACCCTGGGTTTCCAACCATTCCTAACATGTCTTTTCTGCATTGTTTAAATAACCACTCAAGAAATGCAGTACATTATATTCCTGGTATTCATGAAACTTGAAGAGATTAGAGAGTCAGGGGAAGTAAGACTTCCCAGAATACGGATCAATGAGCCACCCTAGTCCAGCAAGTCCCCGTAGTTGAATTTCACTGAGAAACAGACCGAGCTGGGATCTTCCCTCCAGAACCCCATTGTAGGAATGGCCCTCTGCAATGTGTCCTTAACCCGGCATGTGTAAGGTCTGAACCACTTTCCATGTGTGTCTTTAGTAATGGGTGAGCTCCTTTAGAATATAGTGATATAACCAGGTGATTCATTTGGGTGAGAAAAGGAAAAAAGCCAATGGTCGGATGATATATGAAACAGGTTGGGAATGATGAGTAAGCGCTAGCATAATGACCTGATAGTGACCTTTGTCATTTCCCCCATTAATAAACATATTAAATGGCCAGAGACTGGACTTTCTTTAGGAAGACACCTGTGCTACAGATTGTCACCATCCATCCCCTCCGCCCCCCACTTACATGGTCATCTTTCATTTTTTCCTATAGGGAACCCCTTGACCCTACTCTCAATAAATGTAGTTCCAGTGGAGGTAAGATCTCCTTGGTTCAGGGGTAGACAAGTGACCTGAGCATGGGAGGAAGACCCAGATCCCTCCAGGACACGGAGATTGCTTCAGAGACGGGGACATAACTCAGGCCAACCCAACTGAGACTCTATCTGGGATGCTTTCCTGGATTTGCCCCGAGAAAGAGGCTCTCCATCCACCAGCATCATTAAGGTGCGAGGATGTGAATTTGAGCTCCTCCTGGCCACTGCGGCCACTACTTCCTGAGAATGATGTCGGGGCAGAGAAAGCAGAGAATAGATATGAAGCAAGCCCTGAAACCAGGTATGCACACCTGAATCAAGCTGTGCCTGAAATCCGTATTCTTTCAGATGTTTCATGTACCAATACATTCTCTCCACATGACCCTCCTTCCCTTTTTAAAGATTTGTAAAAGCTGGCTTGAATTTCAAGCATAGGTAGTCAACAGGGTTCTGACTTGTATAGTGTTTATTTTCTTCTTCTAAAATGAACTACTTTAAAAGTACGCTTTAAGTGAACTGTTCACAAACTTTGGTACTTTAATGATTATTTAGGAACATGTGATTTGGTGTTCCTATAGGGAACCCGTCGATTACATTAATGCTAATCGAGACAAATTGCATGTTGAAACAGGCTGATCCTCTGTACCTATTTTCCCCTTGAGAGGACATATGTGTGTGGCCACAGACAGAGAGAGACAGAAAAAGAACCAAATTCTCAAATCTCCCAGGCCATCTCTCCCCTCTCCCATGGGACTGGGACTGGGACAAACCCCAGGTCCACCAGCCCCTCTCCCTCTTCCCTGCGTGAGGATCTTGTTACTGGGGCCGAGGCACTGTATATGGCATTTGTTAGTGTATCTGTAATCTGTAACTTCCTTTGAAAATGTGATTAACGAATTGCAAACGGTTTCCAAAGGTTTATAAACAGATACTTTGAGAGCCACAGGTAGGTTTGTAGTTTTTGGTGCCTGTTTTATGAAAAAAATATGTGAGGGAGAATTTAATAAGGAAAGATATTCTGTGCTATGAAATGCTTTGAGGTGGAGTTTTAAATAAAGGCCAGATGTGGTGAACACACAAGCCAGCCTGTGGCCTAGGAGGATGGGACCAGAGGGGCACCCATCTGAGGAGGAAGCTGGAACCATCTGGGGGTGTGCGAAGGGCCAGGCCTTCCTGCAGTGGTGACGGTCTGGATAGGAGCGCCTGTGTTACCTGCGGACCCACGTTGGATGCGTAATGGGATGGGCTACAGTGGTGGCCATGTTCATGTTGGTTTTAAAAAACCCCAAAATGCCTTTGGTTTTTCTGTGTTCTTTTGGGAAGGGCCAGAGGAAATCAGCCACACACATCCATGCAGCCTCTGTGAAACAAATAATGTGTGTGTTAATAATTGATACACGGGACGTGCTGCTCCGCGCTGCCAACAGGAAGGAAGGAGATGGGGTGGGAGGCCCACAACTGGAGAGGAAGAAGCGTTGCCCAAAGCTAATGCCATCTGCAGGAAGGGTATGGCCGCGGGCTGGGAGCCAGCCATTGTCTGGGCAGATGTTTCTCCTCCAGGGCAGCCACGGTCCTCAGCTGGTGAACACCTTGGCCACATCGCCCGAGGTCCTGGCCTCCTCTCATCTCAGAGGCCTAGCAGCCACTTCAGAGAAGGAAAGAAGGCACGGCCTCTCTCCTCCATGAAGAGAGTGGGGGCTGATGGCCACTTCATTCCTTCACTCCTTCAACCCTTTGTGCCCTCA